GAGGTTTAGCGTTTCGGGTGTATAGGTTTCGGGGCTTGGGGGTTTCGGGCTGCAGGGTTAGGAATGCGACGCAATGAGTCGAGGCCCAAAACCAATCTCCACCTGCAAACCTGCGTTGGGACCTACCTGCAGTCTCCGTTGCAGATCGTCCCTAAGCCTTATGTCCATCAGAACCTCTCAATCATAAACACCGGGTTTTTGTCCAAGACAAGGAACACAATAGAGATTACGGCGACTATAGCTAAGCCTGAAAAGCCTCAGATCTCAACCACAGAAGCAGCCTTCAGTATGAGGCCGCCGCTTCGAGTGACCTCCTCATGCGAGCCCATGCTATATTAGGGTTATTAGCATATTAAATGCAATACTGCGGTATATCCAGCGGTATACTATACTATTCCTGCCATAAGGAGTTATGCTGAACGGTAGTTTTTGGTATGTTATGGTAGGGCCTTTACGGCTTAGGAAGCTTGGGTCTAGGGTTTAGGGCTTGTTGAAGTAGTGGTTTAGGGGGTTTGGGTCTAGCATTGCACGAATGGTATGGCTTTGGCATGGGGTTTAAGGCTTAGGTCGATTTGTGCAACCATTGCGTTGTCTAAAGGTTGCGTTGCGTTCCGGTCAAGGTGAGAGCCGTAAGGTTTTCCGGTGGGTCGCGGGATGGCATCCTGTCGTATACGGCTCCTCAAGCCTACCGCTCCAAGCACCCCGGGTAAGTTTGCTTGAGGCTAGTATATAAGCCTGAATGATTTACAATATTATTCCCGAGGTTCCTTATTATGAATATATTCTAATATCCCCCTCACCCCCCCCCCCCAACACCCTGTTCTGATGATGAAGGCTCCTACATGAGGCGTCGGCGCTTTATTCTTTACCGGAGCCATCGGGGTCCCCGCTTTTCCAGCTGGTCTCCGAGGGCTCTACAAAAGGTTTCGGGGGTCCATGCGTCTAAGAGTCTAAAAGTTTACCCGGAGGCCCCATAGTAGTTCCTTCTTGGGATTACCCTATGGGATTCTATACATGAGCCTCGAAAAAGGAACTACTTTGGGGCCTTTGCGCAAACCGAAAACCTCACACCCCTGGAACCCGAACTCTAAGCTTCTAAGGGGTCCATCTGTTTTTATTTGTGTTGGTAGCTCGTAAGCTTACTTGGAGGATCATTGGACTCAGTAAGTAAGGTTCTAAGTACTTTAATTGGGGTTATCAGTATATAAGTATAGCTACCCCAATTATAACCCTAGTTACTAAGTCCCATGATCCTCTAAGTAGACCCTAAACCTCCAAGTACAGGGGCCTACTACCCTAAACCTATAAAGCCCTACAGAATACTATAGAACCCTTAAAGGAACCCCTATAACCCCACTTATAACTACCCCTGAACCTCCAAGGATACTTGGCCGGCCAGCTGATCGGATGCGACCTGCTCTGGACACTGGCGAGCTTGCAGCTGACAGTGCTGTTTCCTGGAACCGACCTAAAACTTTAGGGGTTTGTCGTTTAGTATAACTGAAACTTGTGGGTTTATCGTTTAGTACAGCTTTTATATCGTGTTCAGGTTTAGGTAGAAGTTTAGTTGCATGGTTTAGAGCGGTTGAGGTGAAGGTCTAGTAGAACTTTAGGTGTTTCGAGTTCAGGGTTTTGGGCTGATGCAGGGCCACGCCTGAACTCTAGTCGCGCGCTTAGGGTTGATGATTTCGCGGTTTAGGGTTTAGGGCCTCGGACAGCGGACGAAAGCCGACACGGACGCACGAAGAGTTACAGGAGCAAGGTAATCAGCATACCGAAAGCCTGTAATGCAACGGGCTTTTACACGTCAGGCCCAAACCTCCCAACTCCAACCCTACAACCCTAAACCCCCTAAACCCGCCTAAGCCCTGAAACCCTTTCCGAACGACCCTAGCCTTTGTAGGGGCCCTCGATCCCCGACCTTCCAATATCCCACAAATCATGCTAGGGATCCTACTATAGTTTCAGGATATCTCCGAGTTCTGTAATCATCTAGAGTAATCCCGAAAAGGAGCTACTATGGAGCCTATGGGTGAGGGATATTGTATCCTATGTCAGTCTATGCCCCTTAATTAAGGAATATACCTTAAGTTATAGTAGGACCTTTAATATGATTTAAGGTGTATATCCCTTAATTAAGGGATATACCTTAAGTTAAAGTAGGATCTTTAAAATGATGCAAGGTATATTCCTCAATTCAGGGATCTTGGAGTTTCTGGGTTCCTCCCCACCCTAAACCCTGAACCCTGAACCCTAAACCCTAAACCCTAAATCCTAAACCCTAAACCCTAAACCCTAAAAGGTTGGCGAAACGCTTCGCCAAGCCATGGTGGTCGGGCCTCCTGGGAGATTGCCTGCAGACCCTGGCCTTGGGTGCGTCCCGCGGCAAAAGGGCTTTAGGGTTTGGGGGATATAGGGTTTAGGGGTTCAGGGTGTAGGGGTTAGAGTTTGGGGTTTGGGGTTTGACAGTTTAGGGTTTGGGGGGTATAGGGTTTAGGGGTTCAGGGTTTAGGGGTTTAGAGTTTGGGGTCTGCGGTTTAGGGCTTTGGGTTTCGGGTTTGGGGTTTAGGGTTTCGGGTCGGTTTATCTAGCAGGGTCGGGTGTTTGAAGCTCGAACCCCTGGAAATCCGAAACCCTGAGGCCCTAAACAAGAGGAGGGGTTGGGGTTCGACCCTGACCTCCAGGATGAACCATGCTAGTCAACTGTCAGAGTTCTAAGAATGACAGGACTTCAAACCTCAAACCCTAGACCCCAACAAACCCTATACCCTAGACCCCCCCCAAACCCGTCAACCTTAACCCACTCTAAACCCTACAGTAGAAGCCTAAAAGTTGGAAACCCAATAGCCTCAATCCTTAAGAATAATGTATGGGGAATCCCTGCGCTATTTGGCCTTAATCCGGTTTCCAACTTTATGGGCTTTACTGTAAAACTCTTCTAAACCCAAAGCCCTCAGCCTGTTCTTTCAGGATTTGCTCTGGCTTCTTCGTGCTTGGGGCCTACTTCGCCTTCCAGGTGCCAGGGCCGCGGGTTTCCTGAGCTTCGACGGGAGTCGGCTTCGAGTTTACGGTTTAGAGTTCAGGGTTTAGGGCTTAGGGTTTAGGAAAAAAGGTCTCGAGAGGTTTCAGGGAGTTTCCTGGGTTTGGAGTACCATACTTGAATACTTTTTTGGTGCCTGCTCCTTAGAGGAAACCATTATGAAATAGACGTCTATACTTTTTTCTCCCTGGCTACTTCAAAGTCCAGGTTTCAGAAGGTATTAGTGCAGTTTCAAGTGGTTACAAAGCTATTCCAGCTTCAGGGTTTTCATAGAGTGGCCCAGAGTGTTGGGATTCCCCCCGTTGGGGATTCGTGGAAGCCAGCTGAAGTTGTGTCCTGCATGCACTGTAAAGCTCCATAAGAAGCAAGCCTTGATGCCCGAAAGCTATTGTGGAAACCCTTAGGGCCCTACCCTAATGCTCCTGGACCCTCGTAGTGAGATCCTAAACCTTAGCCCCCAAAGCCCAAACTCTCGCCCACAAAGCCCCTAAGCCTATTAGGAGCCTTAGGGTAGAGAGACACGCTGCATGACTGACCCGACAACGGTTTTCAGCCCCGCTTCTAGACTCCAAGCAAAGGATCAGAAGGCGCTCAGTAGAACCTGGAGCCCCAAGTCCCTAAACTTACCTTTGGTGGTTAGTAGGGAATGGAGGAATGGGGTACCATTATAACTACTACTACTACTACTACTACTACTACTACTACTACTACTACTACTACTACTACTAGTACTACTACTACTACTACTACTACTACTACTACTACTACTACTACTACTACTAGTAGTACTACTACTACTACTACTACTACTACTACTACTACGACGACTACTACTACTACCATTCTTCCATTCCCTACTAACCAAAGGTAAGTAAACAAAGAACTCCACCACAGGTGAGCAGTGGCAGCGTAGCAGCCTCCGTTGCTTGGGCCGTCTTTGCATTCGGCAGCTCGGCGTGTGGTGAAGGTTAAGCGCTAGGTTTCGGATGTGAGGTGTCGGAGTTGACAGGGTTTCGTCAGCCGGGTGTGCGGATTGAGGAATATGCGCTTTGATTGCTGGCTCCAGCCATGCGTACATGGAACTGAGGCGAATTCCTTCTGAAGGGCCTTATGGTTCTCTTGGGGGGGGACCAAACTTCAAGCTCGAGTATGGCAACTTAGGTGAAGTTAATAATTATAGAGGCCTTAATAATTCGAAGATGGTTTGGGGGGTATAGTTTACCATATTTATATCAAGGGACCCAAAGCCCATTAAGGCCTCTATATTAGGTGGAGTTACTGAACAAGAATCCGAATCTCCGTGAGGCTTCTGAAACCGGGCTCCCGAAGCAAAGCCACAATGTTCCTTGGGATTCGGGACCGAACCTAAACCCTCAACCCCAAAACCCCAAAACTAAGCCCCCCCCCCCCCGCCCCCCAGGCCCTTAAGGGATCCTTCAAGGGTTCCTTTAGGGGATCCTTTGAGGGTTCCTTTAAGGGATCCTTTAAGGGAGCCTTTGAGCGCCGACGCTTAAGCCAGTACATCAGCGTCCCATGTCTTGGTTGGGGATACCCACTTGGATGGTCGGGGGACTTAGTAAGTAGGTAGTAAGTAGACTTATAAGTACTCTAAACGGGACCCTAATTGGGGTTATTATGGTACTCATAAGTCCCTAATATAACCAGTTACTAAGCCCCCTAAACCCTAAACCCTAAACCCTATACCCTAAATGGCTACGGCTCAAGCCGTGTCGGTTCGAATCCTTGGTTCTGGTGTTGTCTTTGAGGGTTGATGTGCGCGTGACTTCGCGGTGATCAACTCGGTGCTCGCGACGCTCCCAGAGGTCGTGCTCTACCTGGGGTCGGCGATCCGGGACTGGTTTGTCACAGCTGTACCCAGGGGTGTCCATCTTCTACACGATTCTGCAGATTGCCATCGTCTCAACCGGCAAAGGACCGGTCGCAGCTGCCTCTTCTGGCCATGGGGGATCATCGCGATCATTCTCCCACCGAGATTGCCGATGAAATCTCTGATGATGAGGAGCTGCCAGAAGTCAAGGAGGAGAAGGAAGACCTGGAAGGAGAGGACGTGCGCCTTCTATCGGAACTTCCGGGAAGTGGCAGTGGTCGCAAGAGCAAGAACAAGAGGGGCCGCAACGATGGGACGTCCACCAGCCCAGAAAAGAAAAGAGATGCTGGTGAACCGGGTGATCTACCAATGACGGGTCGTGAACTTCGTCGACTACTTGCAGGACATCTCCAGGACGTGAAGACGGAAGTGAGAGGGGCGTGGAAGGAAATGGATGAAAGGATCGACACTGTGGCCAAAGATGTCGGGAGTGTGGCTCAGGAAGTCAAGAAGGAGAGGGAGAAGACGAAAGGAGTCACTGAACGAGTGCAAAGGCTTGAGATCTTGGGCGAAGAGACAAGAAAGAAAGTCGAGTCCATGGAGAAGGAGCTTGTTGACTTCAAGAAGAAGGGCGAGTCTTCACATGGTGGAGGTCAAGCTGATCCGTGGGCCCAATATCTCCGCAACAACAAGAAGGACGATAAACCGGGGGATACACCTCCTGGACCAACGGGGCGCGAAGAACTTTCAGAGGAGGATCGTCGCACGATGATTGTTGGTGGGTGGGCTCAGGACACCAAGAAGGGGACGATCATTGAAGAAGCCAAGGCATTCCTCAGCCGGGACGACGTGAAGAACCTGATCGACCAACAGGACCTTTTGGTGTGGGGACCGAGACGTTCCTTTGGGGCGTTGAAGTTCAAGCCGCGAGGAGATGAAACAGAAAGCTCGCTACGTGACCGAATGTGGGGCGTCATCAAGGCCTTGCGGTCCAACCCCGTCACTTTACAGTCGAGCGCCGCAGACAATGGGGGCGTTGCAAAGAACATGTGGGTGCAGTTCGTGAAGACCAAGGAAGCCCGCAAACGCAGCCAACATTGCAGTTTACTTCGTCGACTTTGCCTTGAAGTTGCCAGGGACGTGCAGAAAAGTGGGGAGAGTTGCAGGCCGGAAGCCACTGAGGAGGCGAAGTATGAGTGCGATTGGGCGGCAGGCACGATTTGGTTTCAGGACTGGAAGATTGGCAGTGCCAGTCACCGTGCCCCTCGGGGCGAGTCCATCAAGGTCATCAGCAGCGGCTGGGTCGATGTCCAAGCCATCGCCAACATCACAGGGGTGACCTTCACGTGCGCTCTCCAAGCGGTGGAGCGCGAGATCAACAAGTGACGTCGGGGAGGAGGTGGTTTCACTGCAGACAGCTTGTCTGCATCTGCATGCGATGGGGCGGCTACTGTGAACACTAAGTGTATGCGTAGAACGTTCGCCTCGTGGAATGTCGGTGGTCAAAATTACGAGAAGATCGAAGTTGCAGTGCGAGAGTTTGATCTCGTGGCTGTTCAAGAAATTTCCAGGACTGAAGCTGTCGGATGGGACGAAAGGGAGACAAAAAGCTTTATGTGGTTTGCACATCGTGATGAACAACAATGGCGGGGCGTGGCAGTGGGCGTTGCCAAAGATTTGTTCGACTGTGTCATTGACAAGATGGCTACCTCCAACGGGGCGGCGTGGCTGGTGCGACTTCGAGGACACAAGCGGTTGATCCTGGCTTCCTTGCATTGTCCCACGGGGGTGACGGTGGCCAAATACCAAGAGGTCGTCGGTACCTTCAAGCAGAAACTCAAGAAGTGGCATCCAGATTGCCCTGCCACAGTTGGGGTCGATGTGAACGAGGTGATCCAGTGGACCTCATCTGAAGACGAGGAACCGGGTGCCTTTCCTGTTAGGGGTGGGGGCAAAATCGAGGCCTTCCTGGAGTTGTTGGGGAGTTGTCGACTACGTGCTTGTCCTCCTGAAGTACATGCGCGGGGAGTACCTACTCACTTTCCCAGAGATGCCACGCGAGTAGGGCGACACATTGATGTTATCGCATCGCGACTCGTTCGGATGGGGGAGGTCAAGATTGTAGAAGCTGCTAGGACGTGGATCATCACGGATCATGCCCTACTCTTTGCTGACATTTACCTCTTCCGTAAATGGATCTCGCCCCGCTTCGACACTCGACCTCGCTGGGTCCATGGGGCGGAACCGTTACCTCCAGTCAACAACTTGGAACACCTCTATGAGGCAGCGAAGAACCGTACTGTGGCAGGCAAAGTACGGCAATATGAAGATGATGAGGAAGTTCGGGATGCAGTACGGCAAGCCAAAGCCAGTGGTGACAAGTGTGAGTGGAAAGGGGTGCATGCGATCAGGAGGCGTAAGCTCAGGATGTGGAAATCTGAGAGATTCAGGAAAATCTGGGCGGGCGATTGGAGCTGGTATCGTGGCTACAAGAATGAGAAGAACGCACGTGGTTGGTGGGGCACTCTGCTTGCTAATCGGTCTGCAGAGGACTTGGCCGCTGACGCTGGAAAGCACCTGGAGGAGAAGATGTGGGACGATACCAAGCCTAGCTGGGATGAGACTCTCGAGACTATCATTGCCGCTAACGCCAAGACCAATGATTTTCGTCCTGTACAAGCTGAAGAAGTTTGGGGCGCATTGGAAGGTATGAAAGCACAGGCAGCACTTGGACCTGATGGGGTGAGTGTACCGTTGCTCAAACAACTCATGCACGAGCAACCAGAACAGCTCTGTCGTCTTGTAGATGAGACGATTTTGCATCCCTCGTTGCCGGATGAGTGGCACAAATCGTTCCTTGCTCTTCTGGCAAAAGTCAGCACACCAACTGGGGTGGGACAACTTCGCCCAATCGCTATGTCCTGTACACTACAGAAGATGATCACCAGGGTCGTCATGAACCGATGTTTTGATTCGATTCGTTCCACATGCAGGTGGGCCTCTAGCGGTAAGGGGCGACAGGTCGCTGACTTGATTGGGGCGGTGAGTCGCTTCAGAGATCATTGTCGAGAGTGGCGCCTTCATGGTATACTCCTTAAACTGGACATCCGTGGGGCGTTCGACTATATACATCGCTCTTCAGTCGCTGACTTCCTTGTGACCCGCCTCGGCAACTCTCCTCACGGTGCCGAACTTGCTTTTCTCCTACGCCTACTTAGCACCAATCGTTTGATCGGACAAGCACCTGGTGGGGCGGAAGTCGAGGTCAAGGCTAACCGTGGCATACGCCAGGGGAGTCCCGAGTCTGCGGAGCTCTTCGGCCTGATCATCCAGCAGGTGATGGTTGAGGCACATGAAGACCCGCGTTGGAGGAAGTGCAGTGGGGAGCTTGATGACCTACCGCTGGATGGTGGATGCTTTCAAGATGATGTTGTCATGTGGGGCGATGAGATCCATGTCATGGAGAACAACGTGAAAATCATCGTTGAGTTGCTGGCTAAGTTGGGGCTACGCTTAGCAGCGGAGAAAACTGGCATCATAGTGACGCCGTACTACCGTGGCCCCAGGTCCATGCAGATCGACGATAAGCCAGTTGCCTTCCTTGAACAAGGGGAATCCATTCGTATCCTTGGCTTGGACTTCTGCTTTGAGGACGGCCAGTCTCAACAGGCAAAATGCCTGATGGGTCGATTTGGGCGGCCTGGAGCAAACATGCTGAACTCCTTAAAGGACCAGGGTGCTATCACGACAAAATCAAGACCATCCGTTCTCTCGTGCAGGGTACATGGCAATGGGTAGCAGGGGCGGTGCATTGGGGTAGTGATGATCTTCGTGCAATCAACAGTATCCAGCTCCGCCTGTACCGCCTCGCCTTTGGTTGTGGGAGATACAAACACGAGACGTGGACCGACTTCAACAGCAGAACATGCAGATGGATTCGCGCGTGGATCCACAACAACAACATTGAGAGGTGGTCAACTACTGTGCTTCGACTTCAACACCAATTAGCCGGGCACTGGGGGCGTCAGTGGGAAGGGAAACATCGGGGGATTGCGGGGGCGATGCTCAAATGGAGGGACATGGAATGGTGGCGTGAAGAACAACAGTGGCCCCCGCCCTTTGGCAAGCGTCACCCTGGGCGGTTCTATGCTGACTGCTTTGAACGCCGACTAAGTGAAGTCTACGGGGTGAAATGGATGCAGATGACGAATGATAGAGTGAGATGGCGGCAGGGACTGTGTCATTGGCTTCGTGCGTGGGATGTTCCTTGGTGCCGGGGCAGACAGCTTGAGATCGATTGTGAGTGAGCTCATGTTGGGTTGCGGACATGTGAAGCTGCGTGCTGATGGTTCTGCAGTCAATGTGTGCTCGACCGACATGCATGTCAACCGTATGTTTCATGTACCTCGTCAACTTTGTACAAATGGGGACGTTTTTGCACCTTCTAGCAACTTTTGCGGCGAGCCTTCAATTCGTTCAATGGCGGCCGCGATGCTACGGGGACGCGCGCTGTTCTTCCTCATCGTGGGCATCCTCCTCTACTTTGTGCTCCCGGGGCGTGCGGTGCCTGATCAAGCGGATGCAGTTCGCCCTATCGCAGACCGCGCTGCTGGCGGCTTTGGTGCCTTGCCACACACAAGACTCAATCGGTGGAACAGTAACAGTAACAATCGTCGTGATGGAGATGCAATGGGACGACCTGAACCACAAGCTGACCGTCATGGACAAGCACATGGACGTGACCAAGGACGCCCTTCTGACCAACAAGGGGATGCACATGTGGATGATGGAGGTTGGGATGGAAGGAATGATGGCTGGTGGGTTGATGACCAACGTGCTGCTCAACGAGATGATGAGTGGTGGAGCTGGGGTGGCCAATCACGTGATACACGTGGTGGCCATGATCCACGTCAACGCGCCAGTGGCTTCTACCGTCATGGTGTCTGGGTGGGGCGAGAACGTACAGACGAAGAGCAACGTTTTCATGATGGCGGACTGGGGCGATTGCGTCAAGGCAAACGTGACGAAAGAGCTCGACAATGGGCGGCGGGCACGTTTGTGCCGGCATGGCAACGAGCTATGCAGGCAACTTCGAGTTCGGACCACACCGATTGGGGCGCCCTCCTCTTTCGCCATCTGGACCCTATGCCGACTCCGGCGACCGATGCTACCTGGGATGAACGACCTCCAGAGGCGGACCCCCAAGACTGGGATGGTCCTGACAGTCACCATGAATCTGAATCTGCAAATGAACCTGCAGACCAACCAACGACGACTGATGATGCGTGGGCAGGATATCACTCACCTGCTTCGTGGTGGACAGCACAACAATGGGACGACTGGCACACTTGGAATGCTGGGAGGCCACTGATGGATACTGATGCTCAACCACCTTGGGGCGACAATGCTCCTGACCTACCTGAAGGAGTCACTCAATGTGATGCTCAACCCGAAGAAGAACATGACTGTCCAGCTGTACAACAATGGCAAGATCTACAGGGAAACCAACCTGGTGTTCATCGTGATGTTCCAGCTGAAGAACCACATGATCCTCCTGGAGAACAACAACAAGTCACCCCTGGTGGAGAGTCCAAGTGGACTGCTCAACAATGGGAGGACTGGACCCGATGGAATGGGGTGTCACAGTCGGTAGCACCAAATGATGGACAACATGATGGGAACGATGAAGAGGCTCTACATGATCCTGCCCCTCATGGACGTGCAGAATCACATGGTACTCCACAAGGTGCTCACTGTGATGTTCGACCTGAAGAACCACAAGATCCTGCTGGTGAACAACAACAAGTTACTCCTGGTGAAGAGCCCTGGTGGACAGCTCAACAATGGGAAGAATGGAATCAATGGAATGGGGAGTCACAGTCAAGAACACATGGTGATGGACGACCTTCCTGGGATGACGACGAGGCTCTACCTCGTCCTGATGCCCCTCCTGGTGATGATGATGATGGTGTGTTCATGCAAGTCAGCATGTTGGAGGAAGGGGAGCTCCACAACCTTGGCATCCATGATGAGGGGCGTCGAGAACTTCGAAATCTACTACGAGAACTAGCTGCTCTGGAACAAGCTGACGAAGGACCTGAAGGACGATGGGCTTTGCGGTCGTGGCTTGTGCGCTGGAGACACATATTGGGGGTGTTGCAGTCACTCACAGACATCCTCGAGAGAAGGTTGGAGCCGCAAGTGGGGTGTCACTTACCGATGTTTCGTGAACCTCGGGTGGCAGCTCAACGTACACGCCTCCTTGGGTTAGCGGGGCGACTGACTGACATCCTCTTGGGCGTGGCCAATGACCTAGTACGATACCATCGTCAACTTGCAGCTCGACTTCCTGAAGGTGTTCGGCTTCCTCCTCGTCCTGGACAACCTAGACCACACGAACGAAGGGGGCGTGAACATCCCCTACGTGAACGTAGCCGCAGCCGTGATGATCGGGATCGACATACAAATGACGAGGAGGAGGTGATCGAGGATGGGGACGTCACGAGCATGGTGCAAACCTTCAATATGGAAGAGTGGCAAGGACTTATCAATCATGGTGTTCTTGGGGCGGACCTCAGTGAACTTGATGGATGGCTTGCTGAGCTGAGTTTGAGGGTGGGCGATCGCAACATGGCCCCACATGTTCGTGCACAGTACATGTGGATGCTGGGCGTGTTCACACGTGCACTTAGGGGCGCTGTGAACACCATGAACTTCATCCTGGAGACCCTTCAACGTCGTGAGGTGGCTGGGGCAATGCATATGCCGGCGAACGACGATGCACGTGCCAGAGTACTGTCGGGGTGCTACCGTCCAGCTATGATCACCGCCAGCATATTTCATCAGGCAGTGAGAAATGGGGTGGACGATGCCTTCACGGACCCGCACACCTTACCTCCTCGACTACGTGTCCAAGAAAGGCCACCACGAAGGGATCCGGGAGATGTGTCGGATGCAATGTTGCGGGGGCGTGAAGTATCCGTGGCAGACTCTCTTCGTGGACGTGAAGAAGATGGCAGGGGACGTGACCGTACACCCAGGATGGCTACCTCGAGGTCCCTTCGGGCGACAAACTTCCTCGCTGAGATCTCTGCCTCTTCGGGACGTGCGCCAGAACCTGGGAGTCTCCTTCAGGATGAACCGGCAGAAAGTGAGACTTCTGGGCGGGAGAACATGGAAACAAATGGTCCAGATACGGATAGTGGGGAGAGCTGGCCACCGCAGAACACGCGAACTACAACAGAAAATCTGGTGTGGGGTGTTGCCTCTTTCACGACTTCGACTTCAACCTGGACACCTTCCTCCTTGACTACCTCGTCGACAGTGAGCTCTTCTACAACATTGTGGGGCAACCCTGGACCGTTGGGGAGTTTAGCCACCTCGTCCTCTACTGTACCGACCTCGTTGACGATGTCCGCACAGTTGTCATGGGGCGAGACTGACAATATGGAGAGTGGTGATGTGAGTAGTTTCATGCAACGGTTGAGCGCGGATGAAAATCATCATTTACAGTCGGAGGGTCTGGATCGGCGGTGTGTCCTTGAACTTGCGGCCCTACTTGGACGACTCGCAGGGGCGGCAGAACGTGAAAATGCGGATGGCGATCCTTTACGCGGATGGGAAACCAACTGGGGCGTTGCTCTACTGGAACACACACTGCGTCGCTTGACCAATCGCCTCGATGAGCTGGGGGCGGTGCTTGTTACAAGGCTTGGACCGGTGGGAAGACTACCCCCTGAGGACATCCGCGGGGCGTTCTCTGAAGCATGCCAGCCCTTTGTCCATGCACTGACTGCTTCATGCTTGGAGACGTTACAAGATCGGCTTCGTGATGCGTGGCTGGATCCTCACATGCTTCCAGACAACTTGGTGCACCAAGGGGGCGATGGGATGCAAAGCAGTATGACAAGTCAATCTGTGGACACAACTGGGCTTGGGGGCGACGAAGTTGTGCACAGTCAAGCCACTCTACTTGACCTGGTGGGTATGCCTATGCTGGAAGTTCCTTCGGCTGCTGGTGAAGTTGCTCCAGATGGACCGGATGCTGTACGAGATGATCGTCCTGAAGAAGTTCCTCCAGTACCTCGTGGCGTTGCTGCAGATGGTCCGGATGCTGCACAAGATGATCGCTCTGGAGAAGATGTACATGATGATGATGTAGCACGGGACGATTCTGGAGTGCATGAACCGCTACCTGCACGTGAAGGTTGTACGAGTCGTGAGGTGAAGGGGCGATCCCATCGAGATCGAAGTAGAAGTCCACATGGGTCGTGAAGTCTGAGCAGTGACGGATGTAAAAGTACGTGAGCTGCCAGTGAATGTGAGGGGCGTGTAAGTTGCCTTTCAGTGCAAATGCGTTCTTTTGTGGCTCCTGGATGTCAAACATACCAGTGGAGGATTGTTAGGAGCCGACTCGGGCAGGCGAACAAAGAGACCGTCAACCTAACTTTAAAAAAAAAAAAACCCTATACCCTTATAGAATCCCTATAGATCCCTTTGAAGGGGCCCTTAAGGGACCCCTTATAGTTACTAAGTCCCCCGACTCTCCAAGCAAGGACTGGTGCAGCTCTTGGACTGCCTCCCTTGCAAGCGGAGCCAGAGAGAGGGCGAGGAGTTTTGAGCGCGAGAAGGGTAGAAGCCTGAGGAATTTAGAAAGGACGCCTGGGTCTTCAGGGAGGCAATATGTTATGAGTAAATTAGAGTTGTAATCTCCAAATTCTATATGTACTCTATACAGGTTTAGAGTGCTTCTGAGTAGCAGCGCAGATATATGCCCAGCTATTCAGTCTCTTCCTGCG